TTAGACTACCAGCCACAGCTCGATAGGCCAGGAAAGAGTGCAATGACATACTGAAAGTATTGAAAGATTTAAAAATTCTTGCCCAGAACACTCTAACAAAGTTAATCTTTAGATAGGAAGGAGAAATTCAGGCTCTCCCAGACAAACAATGCTGAAAGAGTTCTTCACCACTAAATCTGCCTTACAAGAAATGTTGACAGGAGTTCTTCCACCTGAAATGAGAAGATAAAAGTATACACAGTTCTCAGTTAAGGGAGAAAACTGTAACTCAAGTTTAGAATAGAGTGGTAAACACTAAACATAAAGATTAAAGGAAAGAGCTTTGAAAATAACTATAGCTACCACAATGTAGCAACAAACTCACAGAATAAAGAGACAGAATTTCTACAGTAAAAATATAAAAAGGGAGGACAGCAAGTTAAGATAAATTGCTATCAACAGGAAAAGAACTATTCAAACTACAAGAAAGATTTTCTATTCAAACCTCATAGTACTCAGAAAACAAAAATCTATAGAGTACAGACAGCAAACATAAAGAGGAAAACTGAGCAAATAACCATGGAAAATCCCCAATTAAAAAGACAGAAACACAAGAAAAAAGAAGCAATAGAGATATGAAATAATCAAAAAGCAGAAGATAAATTCACAGTAGTATGTTCTTACATACCAACAATCATCTGAGATGTAAATGGATTGAACTCACCAAATCAAAAGGCAGAGAGTGGTGGGATGGATTAAAAATCAAGACTGAACTGCATGGTGTCTTCAGGACACTTGTTTCAATTCTAAAGATATATACAGACTCAAAATGAAAGAACTGAAGATGATATTCCACGCGAATGGTAAATAAAAGAAAGAAGGCATAGTCATGCTTATGCCCAAAAAAATAAATCTCAAGGCAAAATAATAACAAGGTACAAAAAGTCATGATGTAATGATAAAAGGGTAAAAACATCAAGAAGGCATAACATAATAAATATTGGGGTGGCCAAAATGTTCATTGGTCTTTTCCCATAAGATGGCTCTAGAAGCAATTAGCTGTCTTTAACTTCATTCTAAACAATTTTCTTAGGTTCTACTGTGACTGCTGTCATATCAGTGTGCATTTTTTAAAAACTTATCAAAATTGGTGAGTTTTTGTGTAGCAATTTTATTTTTAATCCATCATAATAACTTTTTAAATCATGCTGTTTTCTGCCTCACATCAGCATGAATCAGCCATAGGTATGACATATGTCCCTCCCTCATACACCTCCCTCCCACCTCCTACCCCATCCCCTCCCTCTATGCTGTTACAGAGCACCAGATCTGAGTTCCCTGAATCACACAGAAATTGTGCAGCCATTTTAATATGGAAGATGGAATCAAAAAAGCAAAATTTTCAGCATGTTATACTTTTATTATTTCAAGAAAGGCAAAAGCACAACTGAAACATGCCCCCAAAAATGTGCCGTGTGTGGAGAAGGTGCTGTGACTGATGGAACATGTCAAAAGTGGTATGTGAAATTTAGTGCTGGAGATTTCTCACTGGACTGGAGACTAGTTGAAATCGATAGCAATCAAATCAAGACATTAATTAAGAACAAAGTTACACCACAAAGAGATAGCCGACTTACTCAAAATATCCAAATCAAGCACTCAAAATCATTTTCACTAACTTGATTATGTTTATTGCTTTGATGCTTGGGTTCTACATAAGTTACGTGAAAAAGATCTTCTTGAAAATATTTCATGCAACTCTCTACTTAAACATAACAAAAACATTCCCTAAAACCAGTTGTGATGGATGATGAAAAGTGGATACTGTACAATAATGTGGAATGGAGGAGATCAAGCATAAGCGAAATGAACCACCATCAACCACACCAAAGGTTGGTCCTCACCCACAGAATGCGACGTTGTGTATATATTGGGGTTGGAAGGGAGCCCTCCAGTATGAGCTTCTTCAGGAAAAGCAAACAATAAATTTCAACAAGCACTGCTCTCAGTTAGACTAACTGAAAACAGCATTCAATGAAAGGCATCCAGAATTAGTCAACAGAAAATAATCTTCCAACAGGGTAATGTAAGACTGCACATTTATTTGATGATCAGGCAAAAACTGTTACAGCTTGGCTGGCAAGTNAGGGAGGTGGGAGGGGGGACCGGGATGGGGAATACATGTAAATCCATGGCTAATTCATTTCAATGTATGACAAAAACCACTGCAATGTTGTAAAGTAATTAGCCTCCAACTAATAAAAATAAATGGAAAAAAAAAAAGTTTTGGAAGACAGAATTACAAAGTTGCCAGAAAAATGGCAGAAGGTAGTGGGACAAAAAGGTCAATATGGTGTTCAATAAACATCTTGGTAAAAATTAAAAATGTGTGTTTCATTTTTACTTAATAACTGAAGTTAAGTTAATATTGGCCAATCCAATATTTAGTAACTTGTTCTCACCACCTCTCTGAATTCAGGTACAAATTCTTTTTATAAAGTCACTATGTTTCAGGGCACTCATCTACATAAAATTGAATAGAAATATGCCCCCCTTTACACTAGGATATAACTGGAAAAGTTGTGTTGTCAATGTTATATCTGAAGATCATATTTCAGATTACACATCATTCAATCTGACATGACAAGCCCCCAATCCCCATTAAGGATACACACATACTTGGTATTTGGAACCAATGTATACACGCCTTCCTAGGCAAACTATAATGGTGTCCCTTGTTGCACATTGCCTCAGCATTACAGGTAGTAAGAAAGATCAATGATGAGCAGGAAAAGGAGAGAGAAATTTGCCCATATTTGTAGCTATACATGTGAAAACTGGTTCAAGTGAACTTCTAATTTTTAAAGTAGTAGTGAGAAAGAGATCTCTGGAATGATAGGGACTATTAAAAGCAAAATTTTAGATTTCTCTATATACTCTCTAGACAGAACCTCATTTAATAGCCTTAGTAGTTGTTTAACACAATCTGGCTCTAGATTTGCTGATTATACAAGGAACTTTATGTGCGTTAACTGACCCTTTTAACTGCACTGATGTAAATCAACAGAGCCAAAAAATACAAAATCACAGGATCAGCCTCTAAACAATCTACAGAGTTTATTTATGATCACAAGAGAGGGCCTAAATTATTCAAAACTCAGAATTAAGACTTGTTGAACCCTCCAGCATCAGGGTAGCACTTTTTCTTACCAGACACATCTAAGTGTCATTGGATTCTTAGGGGAATGTACCTTTCTTTGAATTATTTACTATTAATTAGGGACAGACAATATAAAGCTAGATGTTGACTTCTATAAAACTGATAAAAGAGGAAAATATTTTTGTCCAGTCAAGATGCAAATGAGTTTTGATAAAGAACTCTAAAAGTAAACTTTATTGTCACGGAGTATATTAACCAAAATAATACACTAGATTTGTATCCAACTTAGCAATGTAATTTCAGCATTACTTTGTCATACTGAGTATTTGCATGTTGGTTTCTCACTTTTCTTTTGAGTGGGTTTTGTCATCCTTTTTGTTCCTACGTTAACATGTTAATTAAAATTTATACCCTGCTTACTATCTATATGTGTGAGAATTATATCTCTGTAATTTTGAGATTTATACTTTCACAAAAAGGATATAAAAATGTTCCACACAAAGGTTGGTTTTACTGGAGAAACGGGAACTCAGCTAAGTTTCCAGGGACAACCTAGAATTTCTGTATCTATTTTTATTTCACTTCTGATCAGATTAACTACTTAATTTTCACAAGAAATCTCAAGAAGAACAAATATACTAACAAATAATCACCAACTCACCACCATATCAATCCATAATGATACCCATTCAAATGAAGAGCAACCCAGAATACATTTCACAAAGAAAACCAATTTATCTTGCTATGGAAAATTATCCAAACATCCGAATCTTTAAATTAGGTGCTATCATCACTCTGACCACCTGCGAACACACAGCATGCAATTCTTCAGCTATTTCTTATATTAACACTAGTTCATAGAATGAATTTGAAGTAGATAAATCTACCCTCACATAATTCTTTACTTTTCACATTTTTATTATGAAAAAAGATTAAATTTGTCCTCTAGATTAACATTAAATATAAATAAAATTCCTAGTACATAATCAAAAGTATTTGAAAATTTGTTTCCCCGATTACACAATTACCTGATAGGAGAGCTATTACCACAGCTGCCCCCAACTATCCTAGTTCTGCTGCCATAGGTGCTAGCAATACGAATGCTTGCTTCTCATATATTTGCTATCAAAATCAAAGACTCAAAATGCAAAAACCACAATACTGTAATTAGCCTTCAATTAAAATTAATTAATTAAAAAAAATGAGTATATCTGATTGATAAAACCTAGTTCATGTGGATTCCCTTTAGACATATGATAATCTGGGAAATATAAGTTTTTTTGTTTTCTTTAACTATTCTGAGAATAATTCTGAGAAAGTCAGGCTTGACTTTCACCACATGCAAATTTGACCTTTTGTTTCACCCATTTAAAATACTCAGGATAATTCTAAACTCTCTAACTTGTTATTTAAGCACTGCTGAAATGGCAACCCACTCTAGTACTCTTGCCTGGAAAATCCCATAAACTGAGGAGCCTGGTAGGCTACAGTCCATGGGGTCACAAAGGGTCGGACACGACTGAGCGACTTCACTATAGTCTCGTTATAACATATTTTCCTGATTCTTCTCTCACTCTATCTCTCCCTTCTCCTCCCTACCACTTTTTCCCTTCTCCTTTCTTACACACTCATACATACACACACACACATACTCCATATCCCCTCTTGTCCATTATACTATAATCTCTGAAACAAATCACTATCATTGCCCTTGGTTCCCCTTAAAAATGATCTCATTTTAGCTCAAATGGCACCTTTGCATGAAATGTTCTCCAACTCTCTCAGTAGAAACCTTCACACTTGCATCAAAATTACAGCTGTACACACTGTATTTATCTCCAAGAATAGCACATGACCATACAAGAGAGAGTAAATGCAGGGTTTTGGACCCAGGAAATGTGTCTTACCCATGAATCTGAAAACCATTTGCCTGCATTCAGAGTTGACAGGAAATCCCAATAAAAAAAGCTACTGTGTGTGTGGGAGGCATTTGGCATGATGTCCAAGATATTGGTTGTTCTTCTCAAGTCATAATCATGCATGAGAAAAGCCACCTTATCCAAGCTGTGGACAGAGGGGAAAATAGGAGAAAGGATCAATATATTGAATTCAATCATCTTGGTAGATAGGGTTCTTAGAAAGTCCAGCAAGGTCACAAGTCTTACTAGGGTTCCTTACGCCAACCCAACTCTCATCAAAGGACTCAGTTCAGTTCAGTTCAGTCACTCAGTCATGTCCAACTCTTTGCGACCCCATGAATCACAGCACACCAGGCCTCCCTGTCCATCACCAACTCCTGGAGTCCACTCAAACCCATGTCCATTGAGTCGGTGATGCCATCCAACCATCTCATCCTCTGTCATCCCCTTTTCTTCCTGCCCCCAATCCCTCCCAGCATCAGGGGACTAGGTACCAGTAATTCATAGTTGATGTCAATATTTTAATGTCCTAGGAATCAACCTTTTCTGGTGTATAATAATAATGTTTATGATGAAAGAATAACTTCTCTATGCACAAAATTTTCAGAATGGGGAAAAAGATAGGTACAGAAGTGATGTGAATGTAAAGTGAATGGGGTGAGGATGGGGCAAGGCCTTGTGGGCCTCAGAGTGATAGTAAGTAGGCACTCAGGAAGTCTTCTTATGTTTTTCTGGCCCATTTTCCAGCTAGGCACCTGACATGAGTAATTCTTGCCCCAGACACTTCACATCAGATGGTGTTATTAGAAAAGATTCTGGCTTTGTTTTCTGATGTTTACCTTGAAGAATCTCTGCTTCTACGAGAATCTCTCTTCTTTTCTCATTGAAAGACCTAAGAAGTGAACTCTGGAATGGCTATGAGAGAGTAACAGGATGGGAACTTAGCATCCTTCCCATAAACCACTAGAAAACGAACAAAATAAGGCAATGAATTTTTCAGCCAATGGACAACAGGGAGCACGGCATGATGGTCTTGGAGAAAAGGTAAACAAATAAGTAGGCTCTACCATTCTCCAGGCTTTTTTCTTGC